ACCAAGGGCAAAATGAGCAAAGACCTTCTTGTTCTTACTCCTTCCTCCAAGCCCGCAAGGGAGTCAGAGGCCAGAGCAAAGGAGGCAGAGTTCCCCTCTGCTCTGAACGGAACATCCAGCTTTTAGTAGTGCTTACAAGGGACTTTGCAAATTTGACAGTGGCTCCCTGCAGGGAGTGGAGCGGAGTGGGGGGGGTGCTCTGATACACTTCAGTTTAATACTCATTTAGCATCTATTTGCCTTTTAAACCAAAGAAAAGAAAAATTGGGAGCATAACATGTTAGTTAAGAGTGCAGAATCTGGGGGCGCCTGGGTGACTCAGTCCGTTGAGCATCTGTCTTCAGCTCGGGTCATGATCCCAGGGTCTTGGGATTGAGCCCCCTCATGTCAGGCCCCCCACTCAGCAGGGAGTCTGCTTTGTCCCTCTCCCTCTGCCCCTCCCCCCCACCCCATCCCTGCCCGTGTTCTCTCCCTCCCTCTCTCTCTCTCACTCTCAGATGGACAAATAAAATCTTTAAAAAAAAAAAAAAAAAGAAAGGAAAGAGTGCAGAATCTGGAGTCAAATGGTTCAAATTTCAATTCAGCTACTTATTAGTTTGTAGGAACCAGGCAGGTGGGTCACTTAAACTGACTGGCCCTCAGTCATCGCTTAACCCGGGAAAGATACCTTCTCCATCAAGTTCTCATGAGAGATCATCTGAAAGACATATTTAAACTCATTTTAACCATATTCAGGGCAGAGCAACCAGGACTAAGAGCCCAGAAATGAGAACAGAGATCTTGAGAAGGAAAACAGTAGCTATCTTTAAGTGTTTGGGGGCAAAATAGGAGAAATGTTTTTCTGTGTTGCTCGAAAAGGTACCTTTGAGACCAATCGGTAGAAACATTTGTGGTGGAAATGTCTTTCAATTTGCCATAAGGAAGAACTGGTTCAACTCAGACCACTTGTGAAGTGTGCCAGGGTCGGAGGTCATGCCCAACCACCTGCCAGAGAGTATAGTCAGAGGTGTCTCACGGGGTCATATTAGGTCAAGTTAGGCCGGGTCAGTGGTTCTGAACCCCGGCTGTTCATCGGAGGCACAAGAAGAGCTTTCCCACATGCAGGTTTCATGTCCACATGCAGTCCCGATGAGTCTGGACAGGTCAGGGGGCCAGAATATGTATTTTACACTTGTTTGCCAAGAGACTGATGAAAAACCAGGCCTGGATATCTCTGGATTATGATCTCTCTGTTGCCTTGAGTTTAAGAATCTGTAATATGATATATGCTGAGTTGGGCGCCTGAGTGGCTCAGTCGGTTAAGCGTCTGCCTTTGGCTCAGGTCCGTGATCCCAGGGTGCTGGGATCGAGCCCCGCATCGGGCTCCCTGCTCAGTGGGAAGCCTGCTTCTCTGCCCTTCCCCTGGCTTGTGCTCTCTCTCGCTCGCTCGCTCACTCTCTCTCAAATAAATAAGTAAAATCTTTTTTAAAAATGATATATGCTGAGTTGAATTTTGAAGAGGGGAGCTAGTGTAAACTAGGGCCAGAGTGTCTCTGTAGGAATGGAGAAGGGGGATAAGGGGGTTTCATTCCTGCAACAACCCAAGTGTGGCCAGGATCCTCGGAGACTCTGCTGCCCTCTGACAAGGGGACACGTAGGTACAGGTCAAGTTCCTACAAACCACCAGCATGTATTTTCTTTGAAAACCATCATCACAAACAATCCCTCCCCAGTAATCATAGAACATATTCCATTTTGAGCAGTATGTGAGGTCTTAGACAAAACTGAAGGGAAAGGGAGAGGTGAAGATCCAACACTAATGAAGAGAGCAGAGGAGAGGTGCAGCCTTTCGTACTTTTTAATTGGAAGAAGATGTTATTTCAGGCAACGAGACATTTAAGAAATGCCATTAATTGTTTGTTGCTGTCACTATGAGAAGAAGGTGGACAGGCAGGGAATGGACCTTTTAAAATTAGCCATAGTTAAAAAGTAAGGAGGGGGCGCCTGGGTGGCTGTCAGTTAAGCGTCCAACTCTTGATTTCAGCTCAGGTCATGGTCTCAGGGTCATGGGATCGAGCCCCACAATGGGCTCTGCTCTCACTGAGGAGTCTGCTTGGGATTCTCTCTCCCTCTGCTCCTCCCCCTGCCCGCGCATGCACTTGCACTCTCTCTCTCTCAAATAAATAAATATTAAAAAGTAAGGAGGAGTTCCTAGGCCTCAGGGGCGGGTGTAGCTTAGAGTATTAAATACTAGTCAATTACTGGTTACAAGTCACCTGAACTCAGTAAGCACCTCTCCGTTATAATATTGAGATATTGGCTTATTCTCAGAGCAGCATGGACAAAGAAGGACACCTAAATAACTCGAGAATGCAAATGTACACCAAACATTGTGTGCGCGGCTGCGTAAGTTGGTCTCCTGCATAGTTTTACTACTATTTTTGAACTTCATATGGACCCTATTGTAATCAATAGAATACATACATAGTCACTTAAAAAACATTACTGAACTCACAGCAGGTTTTCATCCCCAAGATTTGTCCTAGTCAATGGGACCAAATATAAGGACATCTGGGCATGGACCAACCTCCTCCTGCTTGCAGGAGCCAAAACTGAGTTCCATAGGTTAGGAGGGGCCTGTCTGTATTCATTTTTCTTCCATACACCCTGCAAATAGCTTTCCCTGGCTTCGCCTGGAGCCAGCTCTTCAGGTGTCGGGAGATGGGAGATACAGAGGGGCTGGAGGAGACAGCTCAGCTGTAGCCGCCTTCCTTTGGTGATGGGGAGGTCTGCTTCCCACCAAGTAAAAATCTTCATACGTTTTTTTCCAGCAAACAGCTCTCTGAGGCTACCAACATAACAGAAATAAAGCGTAATTTACTTTATTTTAAAAAAAGAAGACTGCTATTAGAAAACCAAAGAATTATCCGGAAGATGATTGCCTGAATCCTTCATCGCTCTCAAAAGTAATTGTTGATTTTCTACAATGTGCGAGGTTTGTAAACTGCCCTCCAGGAGTTTACAAGAGAGTGGGGATGCCGCCAGAAAAGGGATGGGGAAGAGAGGTTATGCATGCCCAAAAGTCAGACCCAGTAACTTATTAGCTTCTCTTAAATTAGATTATAGATGTACAATTTGAAAACCTTTTTCAAATGATGAAATTCGGTGCTGGCACATTGTTGAAAATGATGCACCCCCCCACCCCCCCATGCTGTCAGCCTAAATTGATAGAGTCCTTTACCAATTGATAGAGTCCTTTACCATTTAATGGTGCATTTAAGAGCCTTAAAATGTTCAGGCCCCTTGATCCAAACATTTATGGGAATTTTATTTTGAGTAAATAAGCCAAAGGAAGTTAAAGTTATATGCAGAAATAATTTCATTGTGCACAATTTCTAATATCAAAACTTTAGAAGCAATATTGAAACTTGAGAAGCAATCAAAAGGCTTTAACAATAGAGGAATATAAAAGTAAATCATAGTAAGGCTAGTCAACAAAATACTATGTAGCCTATAAAATGTTAATAATAAAGAACTGTAGAAACAGGACAAATGCAGAAGATAAAGCACTGAGTGAAAAAAAAGCACAGTTTAAGAGTGTATCAATGCATATAATTATAGTGGAATAAAAATATATCACCTATATTACCTACGAATGAGGGCTGAACGGAAACATGAAAAAAATCCAAACGATTTTATTTATTGTTAGGAATTTTTGTGTGAACTTACCTGTTTTTAACCTAGAGTGTGTTCACATCATGATAAAGCTCGGGACCCAAAAGAAAGTCCGAGCACAGAAAGGATTTCCTCTTCTACTTGCATATTATGGAATCGAGAGGCCATTATCATGAATTCTCAATCTAAACATGTCCCTCTCCTCAGGTGGAGGGAGAAAATTGAACTCACAGTACAAGACACTGCGGTGGTAGAGTTCTCTCACAAATATGGCGTGGTGTCTCCCTTCCAGTCTAGAAGGAGATAGAAAGCAGTGTCCAACACTTGTTATAACCGGGAAACCAGCTTGTCTCATGTAAGCCCCACAGAAACCCTCTGGAATGTGTTCTTTCCAAAGGAGAAAAGAGGGGCACCTGGTGGCTCAGTCGGTTAAGCGCCTGCCTTCAGCTCAGGTCATGATCTCAGGGTCCTGGGATCGAGCCCCATGTCAGGGTCCCCGCTCAGCAGGGAGCCTACTTCTCCCTCTGCCTTCCCCTCCCGCTGCTTGTGCGCGCTCTCTCTCTCTCTGACAAATAAATAAATAAAATCTAAAAAACAAACAAACAAAAAAAAAAAAAAAGGAGAAAAGAGACTCCTGCTTTCCATAGGCAAAAACAAATCTCAGAGAGGTGATCTGGTTTGCCCAGGATCACACAGCAAGTTGCTAGTGGGACTGATTTTCAAACCAAGTCCAAAGCCTCCTCGCTCTGCTCTCCAGACCACTTGCACGGCACCTCAGGAGAAGATGGATGTGCATCGTCTAGGATGAAGCCCAAGTCGGTGTGCACATGGGCTGTCAGCCCTCTTGGCCCTTGAGATTTTCAGCCAGTGTTCTCAATCCTGCTTGTGTATTACAAAGGTCTGGAGGTGAATTTTAAAATTTTTGGTGCCTGGACCTCACCTCCAGAGATTCTGATTTAATTGGTCTTACGTGGACCTGAGTAAGACAAGGTTGTGTTATAAAAACTCCCGAGATGAATCTTCACAGAATAAGGGCTGAGAACCACTGGTTTAGGCCCTTTGCATTCCAGACTGTATCCTGGAAGCCTTACAACTGGCTCCACAATTTGAATCAAAAGAGCATTCCAAGGGCGCCTGGATGGCTCGGTTGGTTGGGCAACTGCTTTCGGCTCGGGTCATGACCCCAGGGTCCTGGGATCGAGCCCCATATCGTGCTCCTTGCTCGGCGGGAAGCCTGCTTCTCCCTCTCCCTCCCCCTGCTTGTGCTCTCTCTCCCTCTGTCAAATAAATAAATAAAAATTCTTAAAAAAAAAATTCCATTCACTCTTTTTACTTTTTATTGCAGTAAAAGACACATGACATAAAACTAACTATGTGAATCATTTTAAAGAGTTCAGTTCAGTTGCATTAGGTACATTCACAGTGTTGTCCACCCATCACCTTTGTCTAGTTCCAGAATGTTTGCATCATCCCAAATGGAAATCCAATAGGCAGTGGCTCCCCATTCCATCCTACCTCCTGGCAACCACCAATTTGCTTTCTGTCTCTACGAATTTGCTTCTTCTGGGCATCTCCTATCCATGGAATTGTGCACTATGTGGCCCCAGCAGGCCCCAGCTGGCTGCTTCCATTCCGCATAATGCCTTCCCAGTTCATCCATGTTGTAGCGTGTGTCAGTATCGAGTTCCTTTTCCTGGTGGAATAGTATTCCACTGTATGGATATACCGCCTTCTGCCTGTCCATTTGCCTGTTGATGGATATTTGGGTTGTTTCCATCTTCTGGCTTCCATTCACTTTTCTCCCCAGCTCTGAAGTCCCTGAGGGCACAGAAGACCTGGAGAGGAAGAGCTTTCTAAGTCAAGGTTCTGGAGTAGGCTTGTCGTTTTCAAAGTGTGGTCTCCCAACCAGCAGCACTTAGGAACTTGCTAGACATGCAAAATCACCATCCCTGCTCCAGACCGGCTGAATCAGAGTCTCCAGGGAGACGGATATAAGACTCTATGTTTTAACACGTCTCGCAGGTGACTCAGACACAGGCTGAAGTTTGAGAACCACTGTGTTATTGACTCCGGCTGGGGTTCCGGCTCGAGGCGTGTTTGCTGCCTTCGCTCAGGTCAAGCTGCCCCACCGTGCACACAAAGCACCTTGAGAGAAGCGCGGTCCAGCCCCGGGCAGCCTCCCTGGCGGTGCCGTCGTAACACCCCATCTGTTGGGATCCGAGTTGCTGGTGTCACCAAGTTCAGCTGGTGCATGAGACAAGGTTGACACGACCCCCTTGTGTTACCACAGCTCTCTGTAATAAACAAACAGACGTTGTAAGAAAATTGACTTAATTAGAAAGCTGCATCCTAGCAGTTTACATCGTTGAGTGTCTCATACACAGGGAACCGCAATCAACGTGCTCACTTCAGAGAAGCTACCAGAAAACAATTGGCAGGGGATCCACAGTCCTCGGCTTTCTGCTTCTCCTTCCCGTTTGGGAGGACCCCTGCTCTACCCGCCAGCACGCTCACCTGTCCATCCCGGGGACCAGGGGTCACGGCAGCTCCGCACCTGGGCTCAGGCTGTCTCTCCTCCCTGTGATGCCCCCTCCTTGCTCCTCACTCATCCGTTCCCATCCATCCCTCTTATTCAGCCCCACTTCCACCTTCTCTCCTGAAAGCCCAGGGAGGCCACGCCAGCCGACAGCCATGTCTTCTCCCGGTTTCCGGTGCCTCCATCCCTTAGTTAGTCATATCGTATGGCCATCTTCTGTTTGAGGTCACTTTTTAAAAAAATAGACACTGGGATACCTGGGTGGCTCAGTTGGTTAAGCATCTGCCTTCAGCTCAGGTCGTGATCCTGGAGTCCTGGGATCGAACCCCCGCAACAGGCTTCCTGCTCAGTGGGGGTCTGCTTCCCCCTCTCTCACTCTCCCTCTGTGCTCACTTTCTCTCAAATAAATAAATAAAATCTTAAAAAAAATAAACATGCTGTGTGAGCCTTGATGAGACTTTAGGGGTGAGAAAATCAAGCTCTGGGCGTGGCCTGGGAAGTAAAGGGGAAAATGAAGAATGAGCTAAACTCTGTTCTGTAAAGAAGCAACTGGCATTTGAGGGTTGGAGGAACGGGTCAGTGGGGCAGACAGCAGCTCCTGAGGAAGAGCAAGCCCATGAAGATGATGCCAAGCCAGGGCCTTAAGGGAACATGGTCAGTAATCCTGACAAGGAACAGGACATTTGGCTTTTTCCTACTGCCTCTACTCTGCTGTGCCCCAGTTCCTCTGCTTAGACCAAGCACAAAGCTAAGGCACAAAGGATAAGGGAATTAGGGCTTTGTACAGCAGAGGGTGACATGGGCAGGGATAAAGCAAGCTCAAGCCCTGGTGGGCTGAGCAGGAGACCACTAGCCCTCAGAGACAGTCTCTGGAAATCCTGAGGAGAGCCAGGGTCGCACCGAAGGGCAGGACGGAACTCTGCTGATTACTCCAGGTCACAAGAAGAGGATGAGCCCAGAAGGCTGGACCACTGAGGATCCTGCTTGTTTTACAATTATGATCACACAATGTCTACTGCACAGAAATGGCACAAATGCTATATTTGGCCTTTCTGGATCATTCTGCTGTGATGGTGATTGAGATGGGGGGCTTTAGGAGTGCTTCCTGCCAGATAGTTTAGGGGGCCAATATCTTAGGCATAAATCACAATAAAAGGGATGTGCATTGAGTATCCTATGGGTGCCATATATTCATTTTTTTGAAATAGCCAAAACAGGAACTTCACTGTCTTGACACTTTTTCAGACTAAAATTATTGCAGCCATTATACACAGAGAATTGTGGGTCCTTCATCATCCATATGTCCGTGCATTCAAGTGGACTGAAGATCCCTTTCTTTTTTTTTTTAGATTTATTTATTTTAGAAAGAGAGGGAGAGAGCGCGTGCATGGGGGGCGGGGCAGAGGGAGAGAAGCAGACTCCTCACTGAGTGCAGAGCCCCACGTGGGGCTTAATCCCACCACCCTGAGATCAGGACCTGAGCTGAAACCGAGAGTCAGATGCTCAACAAACTGAGCGCCCCTGAAGTTGCCTTCCTAAGGTGGATCTTGGACCTATTCCCCTGTTCGCTCTCCCCTTTCCTGAGCCAAGGTCATGAGCACCTTCAGTTCAAGCCCTTCGATAATCTGTTGTTTCTATCCCATCTTGGCCGACGGAGAAACCACACCACACTGCACTAACTGAACCCTCAGAATGTCTGCTCCTCAGGAATTTCTCAAGATGTAGACATTCTCTTGAACTCACTGCCGCCCAGGATCTGTCAAAGGCTCAGCTGACAGGGACTGTTACAAGGATGTTGAGTCCAACCAGTCCAGCGAGAGGGGTAGTGGCACGGGCCCTGGAGCCTGCCTGCCTAGGTGTGAAGCCTGGCTAGAGATCATGAGCTCTGCGACCCTGGGGAGGGCTCTTAACATTTTCTGTGGGTCTCGGTTTACTCATGTGCAAAATAGGGCTATCAGAGTACCAATCTCACATGGTTGCAGTGAGACTTAAGTGAGGTGATCCATGCAAAGAGCTCAACATCCTCCTGGCCCCTAGTAGTGCTCGGTGAGCATTAGCCATTACTGCCCCTGGTTAAGCCACTACCGCGTCATTTTCTGCCTGGGAATAAAAATTCATCATCATCATTATCATCCACTGAGCCACTGAGCACCTTCTGTAGGCCAGGCCAGTGCTAGGAGCTTTACATGAACTGTCACTGATATTTGCCCAAATCCACCAGGGATACATGATGGCCAATCTCCAGATAAAGAAACCCCGGGGCAGGAGGATGGTGGGATCCATCCAGGTCCCTGGGGAGGGGAATGGGATGGGCTGGGAATCTGGCCACATCGTCACACAGCCCTGATTGATGTTCTTTCCTAGAAGGTGAGGCATTTCTGTGTACTGTCACAAGTCCTTGAGGGAACGAGTCGTGGGGTAAATAAATGAATCACATTTTATTTTTTTTAAAGATTTTACTTATTTATTTGACAGAGAGAGAGACAACGAGAGGGGGAGTGGGAGAGGGAGAAGCAGGCTTCCCGTGGAGCAGGGAGCCCGATGTGGGGCTCGATCCCAGGACCCTGGGATCATGACCTGAGCCGAAGGCAGACTAGCTTAACAATCGAGCCAACCAGGCGTCCCAAAAGAATCACATTTTAAATGATGCCTTCTCTTGCTAGTTCCTTTATTTAACCAGTGGGACTAGGAGTGTGGTGTCTGATGCTTCCAAGTCCCCTGAGGGACCCAGGACACCCTGACTAATAGCCCTGGTGAAAATGAAGATCAGGAAGCAGGAAAAGCACAAGCCAGTGGGGCCCCTGGTGCCCGGGACACAATTTGTTGATGACAAGGGCCTCCGAAGCCATACCAGGACTGATGGGGTCTGCATTCTCGGCCTTGCCCCTGTTTGCTCCAGCCTAGTGATGTCTTCAGCTTACTTCCCACATGAAGTGCGGGATTGGGAGATGCTCCCACACGTCCCTGGAGGCAGCAGCATGACATAGCAGATAAGACCCAGGCTCTGGCGTCTCTGGCCTTCTTCTGGCTGTGCCTCAGTCTCCTTATCTATAAAATGGGTATGCTAAGAATACTAAAGCCCCCTCATGGGGAGGTAATGCAGTCTCCTGGTTAAGACCACAGAGCCCAACTGTCTTCGAATCCAGGCTCTGACACGAGCTGAAGGGCCCTGAGCAAGATTTTTAACCTTTCTGAGCCTAGGTCCTCATCTATAGAATAAGGATGCTGGTAGCTACTCCTTCCGAGGAGAAATAACATAAATTAATATATAATCGTATGATTTCAACTATGCGTGGCACATGGTAAACACCATATTAACAGTCAGCTATTCCCGTTGCTATTATTATACATGCGGCGTGCATAGAGTGGCTGGCAATGGCCGCTAGCTGTCATCCCTCCCTGATTATGAAGACTGAGCAGCAAGCAGCACTCTGGGAAACTTCGGTCTCCCCCAGTGTGGGCAAGGGCAGGAATTCATGAGCAGCTCTTTGTGTGGGAAACTTGAGTGTGAATCCTCCCAAGCCCTCCGGCCTTGACAAAAAAAGGAAGGAAGGGGTGAGGACGCACCATCTTAGACGCACCTGGGGGAGGCTTTCTCAAGGCAGAGAGCCTCGACCTTTGAATTTCCAAAATAAATAAACCCACAAGCTCAGCTCTTCAGCAGTCTGTCGACAAATGAGCTCCACAGCCTGAAGAGGGAGAATGTGTTTCTTATGTAAATCCACATGAACAAACAGAACACATTCTTCTTCCTTTTCCAAATAACCCAGCCTGGGAACAAGAAGTCAACCTCTGGTTAAGCAGGGGTGAGGTTGCGGCGCAGGTGGGGTCCATACCAGGCTTCCCACCACCTGCTCCTCACAGCTCCCGTTCTCCTCTCTGCACTTCCAAATCATTTTCTCTTATTGTCATACCTCCAGGCACTGAAAGCTACCTTGGCAAATTAGAGATGAGGTCAGAAATAGACACAAGGATGTTACTGAGAAGAATTTCTAAGGAGAGAAAAGCATCTATGGAAACAGAAGCTGGAGTAGAGCAAAAAGAGAGTTTTAAGGCTCCAGGTAAAGAAACACAAGCATGATAGAGGAAAACATAGGGGAGTAGGATCCAAGAATCAGGATGTATTATTATGTTTATTATTGAACCTTTTTAAAATGCTCACTGTGCACCAAGCCTACATGCATCCTCTCATTTGATCTGCAGCAGAGCAGAAAAAAAAGAAACCAGATCTTTCACTGTATCATGGAGCTGCTGGATCAAGCTTCTCCTGAATCTGACATTTGTCATGGGACATTGCAGTTACATGAACAAATACAATTGCTTTATATTTAAAGCTTATTTAAATTGAGGGTTTTGCTGCTTGCAACCAAAAGCATCTTAGTAGCTATATACCTACCAAAACTCTTAAGGAGGTAATACATTAGTATTTCATTTCTAAAGGAAGCAATACAAGCAGAAGTGTATTTAAAGTGCATCTGGGCTTTCCTTACAGTGAACTCATTAAACACATGGAATAAGGCCTGGATGATTTTTTTAAATCACCTAACATTTATTGAGCCCCTACTATGAGCCAGGTATTTGATGTAAATTATTCTTCATCCCTGTGATGGTATTGAATGGAAGAAATTATTATTCTGGCTTTGCAAATGGTGAAATGAAGGCCCAGAGATTTAAGTAAGTTGCCCAAGGTCAAGTAACTAACAAGGACACAGCTGAGACTGGGAGCCATGCCTGCGGAGATTCCACACCCATGAACTTTGCACCGCAGATTCCACATGTCCTCGTTAACGTTCTGCAGCTCCTGTTTTTAATCTTTGCCTTTGGGAACCTCGCAGCTTGGTCAGTTTTGAAGAAGTCTTGTATCAGACCACGAAGAGGGGCCTGCAGTTGGGTGACCCAGCATATCTTCCTGGTCAGAGATACAACCATCCCCTCTCTTTCTTGCCTTACCTTGCCCTCTCTCAGTCTCTGACTTTCTCTGAGGAATGGCACATGTGGACACTTGGACTCTTTCGTCCTCTTTGGAACTGGACCAATTGTAAAGAGCATCTGTCCTGGATATTGGGTCCAGCTCGTTGTCTGCCTTAACAAATCACTCTGTCTCCCTAGTGTTCATTCCACAAGTCTGCTAAACGTTGGCATCTCCTTTTCGTTTAAGATTTAGAGTTGAACATTGTGCTCCAAGATGGCATTGGCATTAGTGAATTAATGCTGATATAGTACGCCCAGACAGAGCCCCCTCAACATCCAGTCCACACTGGGTTTTCAGGCCCTGTTTTGTTCTGTTGGTTTGTGTGCCTATGAATGACTACACTGAAGAGTTCTGGATAATACTGATTGAAGTTAGAGCATGTCCTGTTCATTTGCTGACATTATGCAATTCAGTATAATAAGCAAACGCCGACTCCAAATGTGAAGTCCTGTGAGGTGTACTACCTGTGACTCTGTACTATGCAGAAATGATCCCCTTCGGTTAAGTATTTTCAGATAATTCAAAAATCTTTAAAAGGCCATATAAATAGAATAAAATTTCTTTCCCTTGGCCCAACTGCCATGTTTCTGCCTTGGATAAGTCACTGTGCAACTTCAGTGAGGTAACATCAGTCAAAGGAGCCTGTACAGGAATATATAAATATCAGTCACTGACATTTCTTAGAATGCTAATAACATTTTGTCTGCCCAGACAAGTCAGAGTCTCAAGCTTTTCTATACATAAGCCACCAAAGTATAATTTATCATGGAACTCTCAGCACATAAAATAATATCCAAGCAAGTTTCCCAAATATACTGATTCTCTGGAGTGTTTCCCACCCCCACAAGAGTTTCACTAGTAGCCAATAAAAGCAGCAATGGGGATCCTTCTGTATCCAGGAAATAGGTACTTCCCAATAAGCAACTTAAAAGCATGAAATTCTGTCTTAAGTATATTTTATATGCTCATACAACATCTAGCAGAGCACTGTTAAAATAGTGTACATTCAGGAGCATGAGCAGACAAGCCACAGACTGGAAGAAAATACTTGCAAAAGACATATCTGATAAAAGACTGTTAGCCAAAATATACAAAGAACTCCTAAAATTCAACAATAAGAAACCAAACAACCCGATTTTTTAAATGGGCAAAAGATAGGAATAGACCTCTCACCAAAGAAGTTATACAGATGGCAAATAAGCACAAAGATTCCCAACATCTTCTGTCATGAGGGAATTGCAAATTAAAACAATAATGAGAAACGACTACATACCTATTAGAATCACCAAAATCCAGAACGTGGATCCTGGCGAGGATGTGGAGAAACAGCAACTCTCATTCATTGCTGATGGGAAAGCAAAATGGTACAGCCACCCTGGAAGGCAGGATGGCACTTGCTTACAAAATGAAATACACTCTCTCCATATATCCAGCAATCATGCTCCTTGGTGTTTCCCCAAGTGAATTAAGAACTCATCTCTTCAGAAACCTGCGCATGGATGCTTATAACAGCTTTGTTCACAATTGCCAAAACTTGGAAGCAACCAAAATGTCCTTTAGTAGATGAATGGATAAATAATAAACTGTGGTACATCCTGACAATGGAGGATTATTCAGCACTAAAAAGAAATGAGTTATTAAGATACAAGAGGACATGGAGGAACCTTAAATGCTTATTACCTTATAAGGTGTATTTAAAGAAGTCAATCGGAAAAGACTACATACCAAGGCTACAAAGGCTACATCCCAACTCTGTGACATTGTGGAAAAGACAAAACCACAGAGACAGTAAAAAGATTTGTGGTCACCAGGGGTTGGGGAGAGGGAGGGATGAATAGGCGGAGCACAGAGGATTTTTAGGCGAATGAAGTGTAGGGTGGATACATTTCATTATATCTCCCTTCAAACCCAGAGAATGCACAACACCAAGAGTGAGCCATTAATGCAAGCTACGGACTCCGGGTGATAAGAAGGTGTCAGCGTAGGTTCATGGATTATAACAAATGTACCACTCTGGTCCGGGATGTTGGCAGAGGGACAGGCTGTGCATGTGTGAGGACAACAGGCAGCTGGAAATGCTGTACTTTCTACGACTAAATTTTCTATGAACCTAAAACTGCTTTAGAAAATAAAGCCGGTTTTGCCAGGTAATGGCAAAGGCTCGACCCAAGCCAACTCCCAACTAGAGATGCTACTGTATGCCTCCATTATCCTGGAGGGAGGTAGCGCAGCCTGAAAAGCAGAAAGTAATGCATTTCCACTGGACACGGTCATGGAAATAGACCAAAGAAGTTTCTGTAACCCTGGAAACAAAGCCAGACGTATCATTTCAGTTCTAAAGGGTAGATTCTGAACACCCCGATGCTCCCCAATGCCATTGCTAATGCCACACACGTTGTCCTCACCCGACACACGTTGTTGATCGCGGGAGGGGCGGCAGGAGAGTCCGTGCAAAAAGATCAGCACCTCCGGTCTGAAATTAAAGAAATAAGTGTGGGAGAGCGAAGAATGCAAATTCTTTCTCTTCCAAAGCTAAGAAAGCTACTTTGTTGCCGAGCAGAAAGCCTCTTTAGGACTACTGTCAGCTAAAAGACTAAAAAGAAAACAAGCCCATAGGGAAAATCATTTTCCTGTACCTCACCAGTTCTGAGGAAGTTCATGAACATCCACATGAAAGTGAACTCAAATAGCTTATACGTCCGGGTATGCACTGAACTTTGGAGGTTCCTATTTTAAATGAAAATAAGCGTATAGCACAGCCCCTCATGGGAAGCTCTATCAAGACTCAAACTTACAATTATGGCTTCTTTGAAAGGACCTTGAAAGGCATTTAGTCCAACCTGCCATCCAATGCAGGAATCTCTTCTGAAACATTTGCTGCCTCTGCTTAGAGAGAGAGAATTTCTTGTGCCCTAAAATTCCCCATTTCACTATTAGGACATTTTTTGCTTCTCGGTACCAAAACCTGCCCTCCCCCCCCTCCATATAACTTCTAAACATTGGGCTCTGCCTTCCTTCTAGAACCAGAGAATGAGAATGATCCTTCTTCCTGGCTCCAGCCCTCAGCGGCTGTGTGACCTGCAGCCAGTTACTGAACTGCTGAAATGTTAGCACCATGCCCAGCATATGATTAGCACCCCATAATTATTAGCTGTTAATATAATTCACTATTAGACACAATGACCCCTCCCATAAGCATGGCATGGGGATTCCATTATTAGGTGTGTAAGGAGCAGAGATATTCTCAGATTCCTTTAAATCAGGGACTGTCAACCTTCCTGTGGATTTGGGGGCTACACCCAAGGGTTTAAATGGCATCCTCAGTTATCCTGGGATTCACCTGAATCAGCACTGTTTGGGTGTGGCTCTTCTTCCCTGATGGATTCTCAGCAGGTCAAGTTCTCACGTGTCCTCATGTCTTTGGCACCAGCTTGAGGTCAGCGTCCACCTTTGACCCCTGACCTCTGACCAGCAGCAGGCTGCACTCTGGCTGTATGCCACATGACGTGGTGCTCAGTTCAGCAATCTCAATTTCTGGAATTGCCTAGCAACAGAGACATTAAAAAAAAAAAGTTTTACATCTTGCCAAAATTTGGCAGCACACTTTGGTAGAGTTTGAGACAATGCAGTAAACCACCACATATCAAGTGAGAGTGCTGTCTTAAGCAACGAGTTTTATTTGGAGGCCACCCTGGGAAATAGAGGAGCCCAGAATCTCCACCTCAAAGCCAGGCCTCATGGAGACTCGCCCTCAATCTGGGAGCTGGAAGGTTGCTTAGGATACAGTGCGGTTCTAACAACTGGGTTATAACAGTAAATAAAATTGCCATCTGTTGAGCTCTTAATATGGGCCAGGCGCTGTGCCAAGCATTTTACAAGTGTTAGCTATCTTTTTTTTTTTTAAAACCTGTTTAAATTGTGAAATAAAATACTCTTAGATTAAAGTGTTCAAAACAAATGTACAGTATAATGAACAATCACAAAGCAAACACTAGGATAAAGACCTCCTCGGTCAAGAAATAGAATACCTTCAAGCACTGCAGGACCCCCTCTGCCCCAAGTATCCCTGTCTATCCCAGAACCCTCCCCTCCCCAGAAGCAACCAGGCTTCCAACTTTTGTGATCATTGCTTCCTTACTTTTCTTGATAGTTTGCTCAACAATATATGCTCTACAATGTAAACTCCATTATAGAGAGTTTAGTGTTACCAATTTTTTAAAGTAAAATTGTATAGTATATATTACCTCTTTTGTTCAATATGGTGTTTGTAAAACTCATTCGTGTTGTTCCCCATAGCATAGTTCATTCATTTTTTGGCGCTGTATACTCCATCATGCGAATATATCACAATCTATGTATTCACTCTACAGTTGATGGATCTTTGTGTTGTTTCTAGCACGAGGTGACGAACAAAGTTACAGACAAGCTTGTATATGCATTCCAGCGTAGAGAAGTTCTTAGAGGTGTATATCCAAGAATAGAATTACTGGGTTGTGCAATGTGCCTGCCTTCAGGTTACTAGATAATGCTAAAGTGTTTTCCAAAATGCTTATACTCATCACATTCCCACCAGCAGCATTGAGATTTCTGGTTCTCCACATGCTCTTCATCAACACTTGGTATTAACAGATTTGTCAAATTTTGCCAATCTGATATGCATGTGTAGTATTTAATTATAGTTTTAATGGTAGTTTAAAACTTTAAATACATTCACTCCTACTTCATACATTCATCTTGATCTCGCTGCTTTCACTCAGCACTGCGTCTATAGGATTCATCTGTGTTGTTGCGGATGAACCTCACTGTATCTCCCTCATTAATGAGGTTGATCTCATTTCCATGTATTTCTGAATTTTTGAGCTATGCTCTATCCTCTTGGGTAAGTGCTTGTTCAAGTCTTTTGCTTGTTTGTCCATGGGGTTGGCTGTTTTTTTTTTCTTATTGATTTGTAGATTTTTCCCAGTTCGATTCTAGATACTGGTTCTCTAGTAGTCTTACGTGTTGCAAATAATTTCTTTCACTCTCTCGTGTGCCTCTTTAATCCTCATGAGCTGAAGAAAAAGATATTGTGGCATCTGTTTCATGGTTGAGGAGACAGAACAGAGCCTTCGAGGTCACTGCCTTGTTCTGGGTCCCCGCCCCAACGAATCAACCTCAGAGCCGGGCATGCAAGCCTGGCTCTGTCCCCTAGCCACGTGCAGGGCGGGGGGGGCCGTCAGTCCTCTCCCATGCTCTGCAGTCCTTTCGCTCCTTCTGCCTCAGCTCCGCTTTTCACTCCTTCTTCCTTCCTGACGACTCCCACTTTCTGCCCTCTGCTCGTGTGACCTTTCCCATGTCCCTAGTTTCAGATGTTGTCACTCCCCGAAGGAGGTTGTCAGCTCCATCTGGCACCGTCCCTGTCAAGGACGGGCTTCACACCAGACCGCATCACAGCCGGGGCTCCGGCACTCTCCCAGTCCACCTGTGGCCAGCGTGGCGGAATCCCAGGGCCAGCCTGCGTCGGGCGGAGCCGCGGGCGTACAGGAAACTCAGCAGAGAGACTGCTCTGCCAAGCCTCGGTCTCCTCCCGATCTTCACGTTTCCGGCCAATCCTCGCGTGCTCCTTTCACACCATCCTAACGACAACTCCCGATCAGTCTGTGCAACACGCCTGGGCGTCTTCCAGGCCGCCACGCTCCCCAACCAAGCCCAGCCAAGTCTCAGTTCCCATCAATTCCAATCAAGCCCTATCCGGTCTAAGTCTCTCCTAAGTTTACCCACTCTCTCCAGGGTACACCCATTGGGCCTCCGCCCTAGTCCAGGTTCCGCCCCAGGGCAGACTACCACCTCTCCCACCTGGAAGCCAAAAGCTACCTCATGTTCTCTTCACTTCCAGTCTCTCCTCTTCCTAACCTGTTCTCCACACAGCAGCCAGAGGAATCTGTTCAAAATGCCAGTCCGATCATGTCAGATTGTTCAAAACTTTCCATTGGCATTCGTTTCTCTTGGCATAAAAACCAAAACCCATAAGATGAACCCCAAGGACCTGCAAGGTTTAGCCCTTGCCTCCTCTTCACTCTTCCCCTTGCTCCCTGCTCTTTGCTCCCCTGGGAACCCTTCCAGTCCTATTGACAGGTCAGGCACGCTCTCACCACAGGGCCTTTGCACTTGCAGTGTGAGCTGCCCGGCATGCTGTGGTCACCTGTCACCACACCCCGCCTGGTTAATTTCAGGCCTCAGTAGTTGTGGCCTCTCTGACATGCACAGGTGACCTGCACATCCCTGCATACCCATTACCTCGGTTGTAGGCCGAACACGGTTCGTGCAAACAATATAGGATTGTCTCCCGCCTGTCAGACAGGCAAAGATTATGATTATTGATAAAATACTGTGTTGAGGCTGCAAGAAAACATGCACTCCGATTTGCACTCTCATTCAGGCTCCACCTGAATGGTAGGAAGTATGGCACCAGCTGTCATTTAAATGTTTCAGACCCTTTGCCCCAACATTTCCACCTCTAGGAATGTATCCTTTAGAAAAAAATACTCCCACCAGTTCATTGGAAAGGTTATGCTGAACAAGTTCTGTGGTAACATTGTTTATAATAGCGAAAAGTGGAAACAGTACACATATCAATAAGACACTAAACTGTGGTACATTCATAAAATGGAGTATGACTCAGCCGTTTAAAAGAACAGGGTAGATCTCTTTGTATTCATGTGGAAGGATGTCTAAGATATATCAAGCTAAAAAAAATTAAAAAGACTATGGTTCTATTTTTATGTTTTTAAAATATAAGACAGCTGTATTTTTAAAAGTTGGAGAAAATGCACAAAACCTATTGACGGTGGCTGTCTCTGGGGAAGCAAGATGAGTTAACAGGGGATTTTTCTTTTCTATATTACATATTTCTGTGATGTTTGATTTTCCTCTTTTATTACCACCGTTTATAATCTGAAAAAAATTTAATGCAGAAAGAAAGATCACAGTTACAAAGTTAAATCTAGAGTGTCTCTCTTCTCCCTAGAAGCACTCTGAGGTCAGCAAGTGCTTTATCCTATTCAGTGTTGTTTCCCCACAGCCTAGCCAGTGCCAGGTACATAGAAGGTGTCCACTGAACATTTGTTCATTGAATGAATGAATGAATGAATGAATGAATTGTTCCTGTGGCCCCGTAAAATGGCGTGCCCACTCAATACTCCAGAAACAGACCCGTGGCTGCCTCCTCTCTTGAGCTGTACTCCATGCTGTAAAAAAGTCGTACAAGTGTTTCACCATCAGGTTGTTTGCTGATACTGAGTTTTAGAGCCTTCACACAAGTACTGATTTAGGCAAATAATTTTACATTTTGTCCCTGTCAAATTTTATCTTTAGAGTTTTGTTCACACCTGCCAAGGTATTTTAAAACCCAGTCCCTGACATCTAACTAAATATAAGTCCTACTAGCTTTATGTTACCCACACTTGATTTATATGACTCATATGTTTACTTCCAGTTTAGTTATACACAAAGAAAACTGCACAGGACAGGGCCTCCAACAGAACCTTGCAGCCCTCTGTGAGAGGTGGCTCTCCACATTGACTTGGAGGAATTGGTCTTTCTGTGCACAATTAAGCTCAAGCACATTAAGCTCATCCCTACCTCAGGGCCTTTGCACTTACAACTCTTGCCAATGGGAAAGCTTTGTCAGATGGTGACTCCTTCTTGATATTCAGGGCTCAGCTCTAAGATTACCTCATCAAAAAGGCCCTCCTACTGCCCAATCTAAAATAATTCCCTCCCCAATTCCACATTACCTTCTTTTGTTTTCTTTAAAGCACTTAAACCAATAACTAAAGGTACCTGGTTCGTATTTCTCATTTACCTCTTTATTACCTGCCCCCTCCCTCCGCTCCGGTGTCAGTGGGGACATCGTCAGCCTTATTCTCTATCTCCTATGCCTGGAACACTGTACTCACTCAATAAATATTTGCCGAGGGAATGAATAAACAGACTTGGTCAGATACCTGTGACCCCACCTGCCTGGAAATTGTCCTCTCGACCCTTGTCCCCATTTTATCCGCGAGGATGTTTTATTAGTTTCCTGGGGCTGCTGTAACAAATTACCACAATTTTGGGGGCTTAAAAAAACCACAGCTTATTCTCTCATAATTCCGGGGGCCAGAAGTCCAAAATCGAGGTGTCGAAAGAGCAGCGCCCCCTCTGGAGTCTCTAGGAGATAATCTTGCCTCTTCTAGCTTATGGGGGCTGCTGTTGTTCCCTGGCTTGGGGCTGCATCACCCCAATCTTCAAGGCCAGCACCTTCAAATCTTTATCTGTTCCATCATTACATCACCTTCTCCCCTTTTTGTGTCCTTGTAAAATCTCCCTCTGCCTCCCTCTTAAAAGGATACATGTGATGGCATTTAGGACCCGGCTGGATAATCCAGGATAATCTCTCCAACCCAACATGCTTCACTCAATCACATCTGCAAGACTTGACCACATATTACCATAGGTAGTACACGCATAGGTTTTGGGGATTAGCGCCTAGTATCTTTGGGGGCCACCATTCAGCCCCCTGCAGGTGTCATTAGCGACTCTGAGAAATGCCTTTGCAAAATGAGGACACATCACACATCCAGGATTTCTCTTTCCCGCTCCTCCGGTGG